ACCCACACCCACTTCATAACATCCCAATGGCTCAATATTTTAAAACGAAAACTTTATGGTAAATAAAACTCATTGAGATACATGGCAATAAAAAATTTCAGCTCATTTCGTTGAGCCATTCGTGAGATATCGTTGCATTAGGACGCCCATTTATATATATGGTCATTTTCAGGCCTTTTCATAAAAGGCTCATAAAAAATCGAGGGTTCAATATTTTTTTAATCGGCTTGCGTCAAAAATCATAAAACTCTTCCCTCTATAACATATCTCAAATTGAACAAGTTCTGATGATATCGATTGAGCAACTTCGGTCGTGGCTTACATGGGCTGGCTCTTATATTGAATGATGATAGAGTTCCTGGAATTGACCCCGCAATGTTTAACATTGCGGAATAGGATGACTGCTCACAACAATACAACCGAGTGGTAAGTTTTATATTACCAATAGAAAAATAATAATTTGTTTTGTTTTGTTTTGTTTTATATTAAAAGGTGCATGATATAAATCGTAAGTTACATTTAACAGATAGAAAAGTAATGATTCTTTATTATTTGAAGATTAATATGAATTTTGATAGAAATAATAAGTTACATTAAAAATTTGAAATGAAGATATTTTGTTTAGGTTCATATTGATTAGATCCAAATGGTGAGTCATACATTATAAATACAAACTAGTATTTTCTTATTCATTTTTAGATTTCTATTTCATAAGAAATAGTTGGCATGCTACATGCATCAAATCGAAAATGTAGGTGGTGTTCTTTTTAGTGTAAGATTGATATCGATTTGATAGAAATAATGAATTACATATTTTGAATGCAAAACTAATATTTTATCTTTGTATTTAGGATGATATGAATAAAACGTAGATGGCATGGGTTCAAGAAAAAATTTATGCCTTCCATCTCGAGCTTAGTTTTATTCTTTCCGCTGTTTGTAGGGTGTGGGTGGATGTGGTATGAGCGTAGCATTGACCCACACCCACACATACCCTAGTCAATTTACTTCAGCTTTTTTTTCAGCTATTTACTTTTTAGAAAATTACAAATGTAGCCAAGAGTTTTCTAATATTTTAAACATCATACATGTAAACCTACACGGTAAATTAACAATTGTTACGTTTTTTATCATTTCATCGATCTGGTGACCTGTTTCCTGACGTATCCATTTTTCAAAAAAAACGATACATTTAGACATAGAATATGTTATTATTAGCCGGTACTTTCATTGATAATCAACCGAATATTATGATGATCTTGCTCCTGAATATATTTTATCCTTTCTTGATTGCTCTCTTAAAATAGAATAAATCTAATTGATCATGCTATGAAAAATCATTTGATTCGATTTCACATAAAAATACATTTTCAGCATCGAAGTTTTTCAGCGATAAACAAAAAAGAATGTTTCATTCTTCACAAGCTTCATCAACACCTCGAGAACGTGGTAGAAGATAAGATCTTTATACGCAAAATATTTTTAACATTTGCTTCTTGCGCACTGATATTATTTTCTAATGTACACAAGATCTAGCCGTATAAAATAGAGAGAAAAAAATTGCGTATTTGTCGTTCTTATCATTCCTTTATGAAGCTATATCATTTCACAACTCGTCTGCAATATCTTCTTCACTAACTAACACCTATAAAAATATACAGAGAATTAACACTTTTAACCATCAACATGCTGTCTCTACTTGTTTTATGTCTCATTACCTATTCGTACACTGAATCTTATCTATTGCGATGTGATTTTGAAACACCCTGTACGAACTTTACAACCGACCAAAATTGGGGTCTTACCGATGGTTTTCATCCTCGTCCAATCGATCATGATCATACTTTGAATAACAAATCAGGCCATTATCTATTCTATAGTCCAATAAGTGAAGCAAGATTTCAGTTGGCTGAAATCAAAACAACTGACTGGTTAACAGCACCGACTGATCGAGCTATTTGTTTTCAAATGTGGTATTACACACCTCGACTTAGCCTACCTTTTAGCATTCAACTAGTGCAGGGTGATGATGAACTTCTGACACGCGTGATTGCTTCCATTCCCGGCAAAGATCCATCCGTCAACGATTGGACACAAATCAATCTTTTGTTACCTGCTGAGAAGATCAAAATTTATGTACGATTAAATGTTTCAGTTGGGCCTTTGGCATTTGATGATTTTACTGTTGACTATTGTGATAAACCTCGTCCTTCGCCACCTGATACATTGCTTGCCTGTGATTTCGAATCATATTGTACAGACAAGTTCATATCATTACCTGAATACATCTATCAATGGTCAGTCATTGAAGCCGATGATGCAGTGAAACAACAACGTCAAGCTCCACCAATTGATTATACATTTGGTAATGGATCAGGACACTATGTATGGCTGAAGAATTCGACCTACATCCAACCAGGCAATGTTGCTTATTTAGCAACACGATCATCTTTAAATTTAACGAGCAATCAAACATACTGTCTTAACTTCCAATACTATGGATATGCAAGAAATTGGTACAAAACCAATCTGAAAATCTATTCAATGATAAGTAATGAGACTCCCGTCGTACAAATGTTGTGGCCCACATATAGATCAGGAGAATACCAGTAAGTAATAGGGAATTAGAATAAAACTTCAATCATTATCATCCTTGCTTTAATTTAGATACACACCAAATCAATGGTAAGTATATTCAAACAAGAAAAAGAAACGATTGATTTTGATTAACAATTAAACGAGTCATCGTACACTTAGTTTAGCATGTTTCTTTTTTCTATAGGACCTGGGGCATTATTAATCTCCCGGTGGGTTATTATTCACTTTTGTTTCGTGTGGACTATTCAGATATTGTCGACGGGTCCTATGCTCTTGACAATATTGAAATTACTTCATGTGATTATCCAACATCTTCATTGACGCCGTATGATTCATTTCTCTCATTCTCTTGTAATTTCGACAATCAAACAATGTGCGA